CCCCAAAACCCCAAAACCCCAAAACCCCAAAACCCCAAAACCCCAAAACCCCATTTTAGATTCTAGGGATTGAATCTTAACTAAACATCGATTTCTAAAATATCCTCTGCACCCAAGTTTATGATGTACTTCTTGTATTCTTCAAGCTCTGCAATAATCTGGATACACTGGATCGCTAAGACTCTAGGCTTTTCGTAATTCTCAGTTACAAGCTTTATCAAATTTTGGATGTTCTGAGGCACAATGAACTTGATCAGGTCTTTGTTCTTCACAAAGTTCAGGGCTGCAGCAGTGGACTCTACCAGCACGATCTCACTGAAATCGTTGTTTCCAATTCCTTCTAGGATAGAATTAATGACCTCGGAAAGAGTATTCTCATCCATGCCTAGGTAAGCCTTGACTTCATTGGTTTTGAATTTCTGTCTTCTTTCAATGAGGAAATCGTTGACTCTATGGTCATCTCTGAAGATAATCCTAAGAATTTTGTTAGAATTGGCAAGAATCTCCTCATCTCTCACTTTCTCGATTATCTTAAGGATAACACGGATGTTATCCTCATTGTCACACAAGAAACTCTGGATTATCTTCTGGTTCCTCATGCAAGAGGTAAGGCAGCGGAGAATGTACTTGAAAAGGTGATTTTTGGGCAAGACTTCCTCAGATTTTAGGTCAAACTTGTACTTTTGGTACACATATCCCTTCATCCCAGGGTCTCTGGATTTTATAGATTCTAGTTCACGCAAGCTTTGGACCAGAGATCTCATGATTACATCGATTATTTCCATATCGGCTGCTTTCTCAAGGTTATAGTTATTCTTGAGTAGAGGCTCCAGAATGGAGTAATATAGAGAGAATTTATAATCAGTATCTTCATCGGGCTCCAATTTCTCAGTATGCTCTATCAGCTGTAGTACATTGACTACAGCCATTGAGTGGTTTCTGCTGTTAATGTATTCATTCTTCCTCTGAGGATTTTCTACCGAATAGAGTTCCTGGAATTCCTTCAAGCAGTTCGTCACTGCATCTGTAGAAATGAACTCAGAGTTCCGTGCCAGCCAATCCATTGTGTCCATTTTCTCTTTAACAGTTACATCAGGATCTTTAATGATCCTGATCTGGTCGAAGATGTGTGTATCTGCAAATCTCTGGACAAAGAGGCTGATAGCGTCAAGCTCTTCTCCAAAATTCCTGATCTCTTCACTTGTGAACTTCTCTCCACCTTTAGACTTAGATTTAATAGAGGTTTCTAGTTTCATTGAATTGCTGTGCTTGATCTGTGTGTTCTTGACATTAACAATTTCTTGTTCCACAAACTGTATTTTCTCTTCTAATTTTTCCAACTCTGGGATAGAAAGTTTGTTCAGACTTTTATCAAACACTTTGAGTTGGGCCTTAGTCTCCTTGACCATGTTTTGGGATATAGATTTCCATGATTCAAGGTCCTCTTCAATGATAAGCTTGAAGCTATGGTATGTCGAACAGAATCCTACCTATTTTGGTCAGTTTTGAATTCATCCATTGTTTCAGAGAATTTTATGATATCTTTCTCGAACTCGAAAAGTTTATTCTTAATTGACATGTCATCCTTGACTTCTTTGATCTTCTCATTCACCTCTTTGCTGAGCTCAGTGACAGAGTCAGTACATCCTTGTTGTTGGGAATGTAGCTTCTTAATCAAGTCAATATGGTCTTTTAATATATCCTCGATTTGATCTTTTCGTGTTGACTGGAGGGCATATTTTTGTTCTACACGTTGTTCAAATTCCTTCTGTTTTCGCTCAGTAGTTTTTACTAAGGTGGCGAATTTCTCGACAAGGTCGACCATTTCGTCCATTCTGACTTTGACAATACTGCGGCATTCAGAGATAATCTCATTGCGGAGCTCATTCTGAGTCTTATCTACAATCCGATCAACCTGAATTTTTATTTCATTACAAGTGGTGTTAAGGGAGTCGAGATTTTTAGTATTCTTATCAATCTTCTTGTTCAGAGTGGAGATATACTTGCTATGACTGGTCAGCCTAGATTTATTAGTAAAACAAACTTACGTCTCTTCAGATTTATTTATGAAAACTGTCAACTCCAGTGGCTAAATCTTCCAAGTCTGTCCAGCACTTAAGCATCTCAGATCGCTTGAGCAAGTTTATGATATCCGTCTTGTCACTGAAGGACTCGTAATCAATGGAAGTGTAGAACCTGAGGAGGAAGGTTACCAAGTCTATAGCTCCCTTGGAAAACTCAGGTCTTTGAATCCAGAAATCAAAGTTCATCTTTTTCAAAATTAAAGAGTTAGGTTTGAATTTGGTCAACAACAAATTGTCGTTCTTCAAGAATTTGGTGAGGATCTTGAGGCATTTGTATGCTATCTGGTCGTCTTCTTTCAAAGAAATCACCGAGATGAGGGATGACAAGAACATATTTATCACCCGATCCTCACTATTTTTGGGAAGTTTCTTATTATTATCCATGATCTCGAAGAAGACATCTATGATCGTCTGACTGAGAGTCTCTTGCTCTAGATGCTTGGAGAATATGACAATGATCTCAGTGACCTTGTCCTCCTCAGATGCTTGCTTCTTCTTGCCTATAAAATCTTCCGGCAGGCTTACCTTTGTGGCTATTTGTAGATGATCGTGAGCTTTGTCGATCCATGTTTATATTAATTCAATTTTAAATAACATTCATGGGGTTTTGGGGTTTTGGGGTTTTGGGGTTTTGGGG